TTAGGGTTAGGGTTAGGGTTAGGTTAAGGGTTAGGATTAGGTTTAGGGTTAGGTTTAGGATTAGGTTTAGGGGGGGGTTAGGTTTAGGGTTAGGTTTAGGTGTTAATTTTAGGTTTAGCGTTTACAGCGTGCTTTTTTTTCTCCACACTGTTGTCGCGCTGTGATGACGTCAGCTACGCGGTTTCGTTGAGCGCCCTTTAGTCGAACGCGGTTTTGTGGTGGAACCAGTTTGAGGATCCCCGATTTAGTGCGATATAAAAAAATGCAAAAATGCAAAGGTTTTTCTGTGGACCACCCAAATTTTCTTGCGGATCCAGGTCATGGTTCATCTTCAGTTCTGAGCTGAAGAAGCTTCTTGAATGAGAAGTGAAAGGTCTTCAAAAGAAAAACCAGAAAGTCCAGTTGCCTGTTGAAAAAAAGAACCTTTGGGATAAGGATGGTCAGCACCATCTCTGCCATCAATGCCATTCTTCGAACATAAAGAAAAAAAACCTGGTGATAATACTGAATTATGCTTGCAACGAAACCACCGAATAGTAAGCAGCATCAAGACTGGCCATTCATCAATGCCTGGAGAATGGCATTTGTTCTGAACTAGGCTTCCCAAGATCAGGAAGCAGACCCCTTGTCCTGATAAAGCCTCTTTTATTTAGGTTAAAGGGAATTCCTCTCCAGCAAAGTCCCAGCCAACAGTCTTTTAAGAGATTTCACAACTATAGACCTTTATCGGGCTTGGAGAGCTGCCAGGCCGATATCTTTCAAATGCCACGCTGTAGCAGACAATACTTGGCAAGAAGTCAGGAACAGATCTTCACCCTCATGAATCGAACTAATTGTCTCCAGCAAACTCCTCTCTCCTTTCCCTCCTCTTTATTCTCTATGGGAGGGGCCATTCACCCTCCACCTATGCCTTTACTCCTCAGTCGGCCCTTGTTCCTTAGCTGTTCCCTTCTGCTGGCAGCTCCGCACATGCACACATCAGGAACAGGCTCCAGCTGTTCTTCTGCCCCGCTGATCTCTGACTCCAAAGGCAGCTGATAAATGTCGGATGGCCCTGGCCTCCTCTCTCTGCCTCCGACACAGAGCCCTCATCAGAGCCTTCCTCAGACTCCAGGACTGGCTCATCTTCCTCCCCAGCCTCTTCACTGTCCAACACTCAACAAATGAGTTATCCTCTTTCTTTAAGCTGCCAGCTCTGCTGGCGGGCCACAACAGCATTTTCCACCTTGGTCTTAAGGGGGATAACTCTTTGATGACGCTCAGAGAGGGTCTGGCAAGGACTCTGCTCATTTGCTTATGGAGGAAGCTTTTAATCTTTTGGCAACTTTGGTCTAGCTTCTCCTGATTGTTGAGAGGCTCAAAACATCTCCCAAGGCTCCCTGCCACTATGAAGAAAGGGGCAGTGAGGAGTAAGTGGTCCTATACCCTTCAACATTGAGAAGGTGAGTCTTCTCTCCGTCGCCTTTACTGCTGGGAGAAATCCGTGGTCTTGACTTGATCAGGGAAGACTTCAAGCTGCTTCCATTTAGTTTAAAATTTGGTTTCCATTGTGCCTTAGCACAGGGGTCCCCAACCGCCAGTCTGTGTATTGGCAACCCTCAATCACTGCAGTTTGTAAGTTAGTCACCTGGTTTTTAAGTAAATCTGGTTTCCCCCTTGACTTTGCTTGTCAGAAAGTCGCAAAAAGGGATCACATGATCCCAGAACACCTCTGGAAAAAGGAGTAAGGAGAAAGCCATTAAAGGTAGGGGGTAAAAATAAGGGGGCACCCGGACTTGAACCAGGGACCTCTTGATCTGCAGTCAAATGCTCTACCGCTGAGCTATACCCCCAGCACATAGGTAAGCCTNTATGGGGTTTCCTGCCTAAGCAGGGGGTTGGACTAGAAGACCTCCAAAGTCCCTTCCAACTCTGTTATTCTATTCTATTCTATCTTAATAAAATGCTTTTAGAGTATAAACCTATCTAAAAATAGTTTTCTATTTACGATACATTAATAATTTAGTTTATTCATCATGAAATGGAACTTAGTTATGCACCATGAGGCTGTATGTTCTGCAATATTGTGACTGTGAGTCAACAGCGGGTCAGAGGAGGAGCTGCTGCAGGCAGAGATGACAGTTGCTCTTAAAAATTATAATTTAAATCAAGTTGATTTAAATCAAGCCTTTTTACTAGTGATTTGAGCCATGATTTGAATCACAATTTAAATTGACTTGATTTAAATCAAATCCACCCTGCAGTTACATCAACACAGTATTTTTTACCTGTGAATTATGCTAAGTTGATTCCTTAATCTTTGCAAAAACACTAAAATATACCACAAAACTAAAATCAATGTTAGTGGATAGCTTAATTAAAGTTTACTTAAATCTAGGTAGTCAAACATGATTGTACAGAAAACTAATTAAGAACACTTCTAAAGTACAAAAATACAGGCTTCATGAGGATGTATATTGTTTATTTACTGTCAGTAATTTACTTTACACAAGGCAGTATTAATGGCTTGAACACTTGCAAATTATGTACAAAGAGCAATGTACAACTAAATGAAAGTTTCATCTTTTAGTAATCAAACCATTTTAAATGATACATTTGAAGACTTTCTTTAGAAATAATTTATTGCCAACCATGGACAAAAAGGGATGGGTGGGGCGAATTTACAAAGTAGTAGATTCTCTTCTTCCCTAGAAAGTTACAGAAGATACACATATTTCAAAAGTATAGTCATAAAACATATCCCTCATTTATACAAAAGTAATACAAATCATGGTTTCATTAAGGATTCTGTGGGGTCATTACAAAATGTTTTACAAATGACTTTATAATACATAACCTGTTGCTGCTGTTGAAGAAAGTGAAAGCAGTGTTAAATAATTGCCAATCATCTGCTTTCAGGTATAAGATAAACAAAACTGCCAAGGACACTATTACAGTGCTGTATATTTTAACTAGATTTTAAAATAAGACTTAAGTTGTTGTACCATTGATCAGAAGTTCTTAACTGCTTTTTGAACCGATGATCATAATACACACAAAACCTAACCAACAGCTTAAGAAGAAATTTGTTGCTGTTATTTCAATTTAAATTTATCCTTTAAAATAGGGCCAGGCAATGTATAGTTGTCTAAAGTTGAATGTTAGTTTTTAGCAATGCAAGCTGACATAACCAGTTAGGAAGAATAACTGCAGTTGCAGTTCAGCAACATTTGTAGAAATACAATGAACGTCCAGTTCTGTTCAAAACAGAGTCAAATTTAACTTGAGAGAAAAGCATCTGCCAGACTGTGGTCACAGAGCATCAGGATGATCCTTCCAATTTCTTTGTTTTCTCAATGTTATATTCGAACTACTCTTTGGCATTATCAGTACAGGAAATTGGGAATGAGACAAAGCTCCGTTCTATTCTGTATTTTCACCTATTTCACAGTGAGAAAATAGAGGATTTCTCAAGCCTTTAGAAATGGTTTTCTACATTGAGTTTCTACAAAATAAGGCACAAGGCTAAAAACTGTGTTTATTTTTAAAAAATGACCTGGTTAAAGTTTAAGGAAATTAAGTATGCAAGAACTTAAATACCTCTGCATTTAGATTTTAAAATACTGAATTTTATAAAAAATACAAAATACAAAAAGGCCAGTGGTTTTGAAGTCAAAATCAAAGTAATTTAGATACTTTTTAAAAAGTCCTCATGAATTTGAAAAACAATTGCACCAAATAAAAAGAATATTTAAAAACGTTTGTAAAAAATGTTTATATGAAGGCCTCTGGCAACAAAGAATTGTACTTGAGAAAATTAAGCCACTCTTGTTAGCAAGATTTTTTTAACTCCTGTTTTATTTTAGACCATTATAACACATTAAAAATTATATTTAAAAATAACCAGATACCTCAAAGAGGACATTAAAATCCGTACCCAACAATGTTTAGAGTCCATAATAATAGAAAAAGAGGAAAAAGAAAGAAAAAAAACAGCGATGAACTTGAGCAGGGGTGTCAAACTCGATTTCCTTGAGGGCTGCATCAGGATTGTATTTGACCTGGGGGGGGGACTTGACATCACTCCTGTCGGGGGTACCTGTGGGCCCAAGCGCTCTGCCAGCATTTCAGTTATCAAAAATTGGCACAACAGTTTATCCTTCCAATAATTCTTTTTTAAAAAAGCAAAAAAGTCCACAATAAATTGAGGGAGAAATGCCTGGGAAAAGAACTACTTAACTAACTCTATCTCTGGATTATTTTTCCTACCAATTCTGCCACTCTCAAATTTTGTATATATGACTAATGGGGAGAGAAGCAGATCTGTGGAAGAAGGGAAAAACCAGCATCTCCTATAATTAAAATTGAAGTCCCTTATAGCTACTTAAAATACATGTAAGCCCATTTGCATGAAATATATTGAGAGTATAATGATCACTTACGTTAACGTGTTCTATTATATTTTATTCTGGAATTTTATTTCCAGAATGAAATATTACCTTAACAAATTTTCTTACTGTCCTCTAAAAGTGATTTTTTGGGAGTACAAAGGAAAATGGATACGCTAAACCACGGATGTCAAACTCGCCGCGTCACATTGCCGTCAGCCTGGATGGGTGTAGCCTGTGTGTGATGCATCTGGCCCACAGGACGCCAGTTTGACACCCCTGCTCCAAACAATACTCTGTAAGCAGAGTTGTAAAATTTATATTTCATTTTTGTATGTAAAGTTTTATTTCAACTTCTGATGGTTTTAACTGCTAGATAGAAGTACTTTTTTTAAAGTCTAGGTTTAAAAGGTCTTGAAAAAAACCATTCACTTCCCTCTTTTTAACAGTGCTGGTAGCATTCTAAATACCAGTAAAGAATGAATGGCATTCCCTCATTTTGTTTCACCCTAGAATACTGAAGGTTCTGATTATGTTGGCTTTGTACTCTAGCAAAAACGCAATGATCATTTATTTGCACTCTATTGTCTGTTATGATTTTGAAGCTCTTTTCCTACAACCAGCTAAACTGGTATTCACTGTAAGGCCACTATTAGTTTAAGAAATAACAACCAAGAGGCACTTTAGATTATAAGATACTGCATCAGTTAACCATTTACCGGTACTGGACTAGGCCAATTATTACTCAAGCATTCAATTGGCACAAAGACTTAATTATCCTAATCTAACGAATGGCAAAATTTATTTTTCCAAAATATAAAAACATTGATTTCCTTTTATAAAAATTACAGAGTAGTTGGGTTCCTTTTAGAACAATGACTAGATTTGGCTTGTGTAATAAATGAAACAAAGAAGGGAAAATTGCTAATTGTTTTTGTTCTTAAGGAAAGCAAATATATTTTATTGCATTAAACATTAGAACCCAGGTGTCAATCCCTTTTGTAAATATCCTCTTTAAAGCTCAATATGGTAAAACCTAGAATAAAATGTATAATTAAAGATATTCAGAATAACAGATAACACTGGCTTTTGACCAGTACCAAAGCATCAACAAAGCTATTATTTTTACTGACTATTTCATTGCAAAATTAAGTCTTCAACATGTGGTAACTTAGCCAAAAGGTGGAATATTTTTTTAATTTTACCCCTTTTAAAGTGTCATTTCTCTAATATCATTCAGCTGCTTTACACTTTGATTCAATTTTAGGTTTTTTTAGTTAATATAATGACCACTACTGTCAACTACAGCTGTATATACTCAGTGTGTTAGCTTTCTTTAATAAGCTAGATTTGACATCTATAAATTGAATTACTGTTTGGGAAAAACAAATTTTGTGTTTGACTTCCACCATTATCCAATTCACAATATCTTAGTAAATGAAAAAAAGGAGTGTTCTCAGACAATGGCTTATTCATGGCAACTGAGAAGGACTCTCAAAACTGCAGGACACAGCTTTTTGGTTTAAGTTAGCTGAGGCCCAAATTGTAAAATCATGGGGTTTTGTCAAACTATATGATCTAGCAAAAACCAAACAAGACCAAGAATTCCTATGTATGATTCATTTTGACTGAAATACTCAGTGGCAACTTTTGTTTTTTTCTGGTACCATCTAAAAGCACTTTCTATTGGCATGGAAGTAGAAGTGCATTTGTAAACTTGAAATAAAGGTTAATTATTTGACAAAGCAAAGCCATTTACCATATAAAACAATTGGTGGTGGTTGTCTAAGTCAGGAAAACTCTTCAATAGCATTCTTAAAATCCAACCAGTTGAAAGAACTTTGCATGTTTCCAAATAATTTCATTCAAGCTCATATCTACAAGTTAATAGTTTAGACTTTATAGTTGAAAAAGACAGAATAATTTAAAACCTGGAGTTAGCTTTAAAAAAGTCTATTAAAGGTTACAACTGATTCAAAATAATGAACAGGAAGAGATTTTGATTTTAAGAAAAATTGGCAATAAGAACAGCAGCAGCTTTTACCCACACATCATGAGGTCTGACAAGACCAGGTTTACTTTTTAAGCTCCTGCTGTAAACTATTAACAGAAATCAGTCTTTTCAACATCACTGTAGCATGAGCTGTTTGAGGTTGTCATGAAGGATGGTATCTTTGACATCACGGAATACCAGACGAATATTTTCTGTATTAATAGCAGTGGTGAAATGGTGGTATAAGGGCTTCTGTTGCTGGTCCCGACGTTTGGTGCGAAAACAATCCACCAGGTATTTTTGGACATCTGTTAAGTTGTGAGGGTCCCCTTCAAACTCTGAGAAATAGTCTCTGATGCTCACTTTTTGCACTTTTTCCTCAAGCAAGTCTGTCTTGTTTAGAAAGAGAATGATGGACACATTGCTGAAAACCCGATTGTTGACTATAGTTTCAAAAATGTTCAAAGATTCTGTAAGACGATTTGTTAGCCGATCTTCCATAAGTACCTGATCAAACTCACTTGATGAAACCAGGAATAATATTGAAGTGACACTATCAAAGCACTCAAACCAACGTTTTCTTTCTGACCTCTGGCCACCCACATCAACCATCTTGAAGGGAACATTTTTAATTTCAAAATCGTACTCGTGTATTCCTTTTGTGGGTCTTCGTGCTAGCAGAATATCTTGCTGGGAAGGAAGATAATCCTGGGGGAAAATAATCTAAATTGTTAATGCAACTACTGAAAAATAAAATAAATGATCTTACATTTGAAAAGAGAAAAAACGATTACATTTTAAGCATCCACAGAATGATTGTATCAAATGCAATATCAAAAATTAAAATAGTGGTAAGAATTAAGTTTTTAGCAAACTAATAGTGAAATTCTTTATTTTAGATTCCTGCTTTATTGAGGCAAGTTGGTACCAAGTAACGTAAAAATGTAAAGCAATGTGTAACCTTACATAATGTCAATTTCATTGACAAATGAGTAATCTACTTCAACCTTGTCTCCTTACCATAATATTTTAATAAGCGTATTTGACTGAGAAAAGCATTGTATACATAAACAAATGGCATTTTTGCACACTAATCAATAACACAGAACCTACTGGAACCCTCATTTCCATGCTTCAGACCTTCCTGCCAATGATAACTGGTAAAGATATAGCATATTTTTCACTCCATAAGATGCTCTCTCCCCCCCCCCCAAATAACCTGAAAGTGTGTGGGAGTGGGGGTGGTTGTGTTTGTGTCAGTTCTTCAGCACTATTATTTTTCTTTATTTTTGCGTTGTATGAAAATTTTTGTTGCTCTGTATAAAATTTTTAATCCTCCCCCCCCCCCCCCAGGTGGGTGGAAATGTCTGTGCATTGATGCCGGCCCTTTGATGAATAGCAGCTGAGCCGCGGCGGCAGGGTCCATTAACAGTGCTGAACCTCACCTCTTCTGTCTTAGTCATTCCCCGCCTCTTCTGTCTCTTTTCTGAAGTGCAGGAGTCAATAGGCAGAGCTGGCAAATGAGAGGACACCTATCTGTGGTCCTCTCAGGCTCTGCCCGATATGTTTTTTTCTTGATTTCCTCCTCTAAACTTAGGTGCATCTTATGGTCAGGTGTTTTCCTCAGCACACTGGAGAATGGCCAGGTATTATATCTAACTGGATGCTACCTAAAATGAATCCATTAATCAAAATCAATAGTCTTTTTAAATCCCTAAATTAGTAACTCTTAGGAAATAGATGGATGGGTTTCCACTAAACTATGAGAAGTGGGTCAAGAATTATAGTTCAAGTGGCTTTGGAGCAATCAGCAAACAGTAGACAATATCAATACACAATATCAATGTTTGACACTGTGGATTTTAGAACATCATAGGGTCTACAACATTTAGTTTGCAATCAAATATTAATTAAATGTAATTATAGTTTAGCAATGATGCTACATCTTATTATTGATATTATCTGAAGCTAAAAATAAGACAAATTTCCTTCTAGCATTTCATAGTAATACAAATACCAAATTTAGAAATAAAACTTACTGCATCTCCAAGTTTATCCAAATTGTCCAGAAAATATTTTATAGATTCTCCCTAAAGTAAAGGATAAATACAATTATTAATTATGCTCTGAAACAGGCTTTTAAAGAACAATTTAATATAAAATAAAGATTTTGTGCAAGAAAGTTGCAACCAAATTCTCAGTATATTTTATAGATGAATTAAATACTCATATTTAATATACATTTGCA